AGGCGAAACGGCTCCTGGGGGCGAGGGACCCAAGCAGATGTCGGGTTGGGGTCTGGGGGCCAGACAAAGGGGACCGCAGACACGGAACATGGAAGCCCCGCTCTGGGCGTGCCAGGCTTGAGCTGAGCCGCCCGAGCCGCCCAGGTGAGTGGGTGGCAGCGCAGTGACTGCGGTTCAGGGGGAGTCGGGGCTGGACAGTCTGGAAGCGGCCAGGACATGGACACACCCACCGAGAGCCCCGGACGAGGGGAAACCGGCTTAGGAGACGGAGGTCCCAGGAGGTCCCAGGAGGTCCCGGGCCAGCCCTCCGAGCGAGGTCCGGGAGGAGAGGGGAAACGTGGCGGCCACAGCTGCCCCGCAAGGTGGGGAAACCCCAGCAAACGCGCGTCCTGGGGGGCACGGAAGCCGGTCCTTTTCCCAACAGTTCAAAACAAGGCGCCACAGGCCTGCGGTGACAGGCACCCCGCAAACCCACATGGCGCCCGGGCGCCCACGAGCAGCTTCCTGCTCACCTCCTCTCCTTACAGCGTCTTTGCTGGGACCCCCTGTTCCTTACGTCACGCTGAGTGTTTTATACGGGGTGTCGCACTCCGCTGAGGCGGAGAGGCGAGGCAGACGGGAGGGAAGGCGCAGGGGGACAGCGAGTCTGAGCGCCGCTGTGCTCTGCTCCTCTCTGGCCAGGGTCCCCAGGGGGCGAGACCAAGCAGGAGAAGCCTGCAGCTCCCGGTGGGAGGGGACGGAGGGTGTCACTACCACACAGGTGTGAACAGCACTGAACACTGGTCCCCTGGGAGGGCTGTCTAATCTGTCTGTAGTTTGCTCAGCAGGAGCTGAACATCTCTTTACGCAGCTTTATGTCAACTATCTCATAAAGTGTCCCAGGCACCTTCCTCTCGAGGACAGGGTGCAGAAGGACCAGGCTGCACATCTCAGAGTCAGCTGAGGCCGACAAGCTAAGTGGCTTGCCCGAGGCCGGCCTGCTGAGAAGCGGCGGGCCCTTCTGTGACAGGGTGCACTTGAAGAGCGACTGAGGGCAGTGTGTGGTGACGAACTGCAGGGAGTGGCAGCGGCGTGGTCCCACAGTGCCCACTACCCCCCAGCGTGGGCTGGATCTACTGCTTGTCACAAGACTTGGCTTTAAAATGGTGCCCATGCCTCGAGTGCTGCTCAAACTCGATTATGCCGAGTCTCCTCAGAAGTCGTTGCTCTGGAGCTATGGGTGGCTGTCCACATAAACTCCAGCCTCGCGTGGAGGACACTAGCATCAGAGGGGACACGGGACAAGGTACTACTTCTGACCTGCTCAATGCTGGAAAATCCCCGGGCTGACCCTCAGGCCAGCTGGTCTACGTCACCCCCTCTAGTGCCGAAGGACTCGGCACCGCTATGCTGCCCTCCGGCTCCCGGCGCTAGTCCTCCCTTTGCCCAGCCCGCTGCACCCGGCCTCGACGAGGCTGTGGCAGTGACTTTAAACTTGATATGACTGAAGCACAACGCCCAAGATCGCACTGTGATGGGTAATTTTATGTGTTACCTTGACTGGGCCACGGGGTGCCCAGATATTTGGTCAAACATCATTCTGGGTGTTTCTGGATGAATTTAACGTGCAAACTGACAGACTGAGTCAAGCCCATTCCTCTCCCTGAGGCGACGGGACTCATCTGGCCAGCTGAAGGCCTGAAGAGAACGGCTGGCCCTCCCGAGCAAGAGGGTATCCCGCCACCTGCGAGCTGGGACCCTAGCTTTCCCAGTCTTTAGTTGGGGTACACCGCTGGCTACGCCAGCCTGCAGGCCTTCAGACTCGGCCTGCAGCTCACCACCAGCGCTTCTGGGTCGCCGGCTCTCTTGGGGCTGTTGGCCTCCGGAATCACGTGAGCCAATTCCTGGTAAATCTCTTTTTATACACATACACACACACATACACACACACACACACACACACACACGCACGCACATGCCTGCCCCACAAAACCCCGCACTGCTTCTGTTGCTCTGGAGAACGCTAACGAATACACCCCCACGAAACCTGTTTCTTCCTTAGTCTCGTCCATCTCAGTAAACAGTATTCGTACAGTTGCTCCAGGTAAACAACCTAGGGGCCATTCAACTCCTCCAGCGCCCTCATCTCCTCTAGATCCAACAATCCAGGAGCAAGACCCATGGTCCCCCCCTCAGAGCAGCGCCCTGGCCGCTCCTGCTGTGGCTGTGAGCTCGCCGCCGTCGCCACCTCCCTCCCAAGCTCCTTCCCGAACAGCACCTCCGTGTGCCACTCCGCCACCTAATCTCCACGGGGCAGCTCATGGCTCTGCTGAAATCCCCGCACAGGTTTCTATTCCCAGCCTCCTTAGAGGAAAAGCCCAACCCTTCCCCACGGCCCGCAGACGGACCTGAACACTGGAGGAAAAGTCAGCTCCAAGGGTGTTTTCTAAAAAACCTTAAAAGGAGCAGATTCGAATGTGTGTGGGTAACTGCTCAAGATACGGTTTTCAAAACCTTCTTTAAAATACAGCCAACGTTCAGGGGGAGAGAGACGTTCTTCAATGTCCAATAAAAATAGCGCTCTGGTATCCACTCCATCTACTTAAAAGGTCTATGACTAGGTTCTGAATTAATAACAGCTAGTAGACATGTGATCAGCGGAAGTTCAAATAACACAAATAAGCCTGATGATAACCTTTCTTAATAAAGAAAAAAACATGTGCGAATGAGCCTTCAGATGAGCTTCACATTTACTGACACTGAAGAATTAACATCGTTAAAATGTCCATCCTACCCAAAGCAATCTATAGGTTCAATGTAATCCCTATCAAAATACCAATAGCATTTATTTTTCACAGAAGTAGAACGAATAATCCTAAAATTTATATGGAACCACAAAAGGCCCGCGGTAGCCACAGCAATCTTGAGGAAGAACAAAGTTGGAAGTATCACACTACTGGGTATTAAACTATACTGCAAGGCTACAGTAATCAAAACAGCATGGTACTGACGTAAAAACAGACGCAGACCAATAGAACAGAACAGAGCCCAGAAATAAACCCACACCTATATGCTCATTTAGTCTACGACAAAGGAAGCGAGAATATTCAATGGAGTAAAGGTTGTCTCTTCAATAAATGGTGCTGGGAAAACTAGACAGGTATATGTAAGGAAGCAAAACTAGACCATTTTCTCACACTATATACAAGAGTAAATGCAAAATGGATTAAAGATTTAAATGTAAGACCTGAAACCATAAAACTCCTAGAAGAAAACACAGGCAGCGTCCTCTCTGACACTGCTCTTAGCAGCATTGTTTTGGATATATCTCCTCGGGCAAGGGACACGAAAGAAAAAATGAACAAATAGGACTACATCGAACTGAAAAGCTTTTGCATAGCAATGGAAGCCATCAACAAAACGAAAAGACAACCGACTCAATGAGGCAAGATATTGGCCAATGATATATCCAATAAGGGGTTAGCATCCAACCTACATCAAGAACTCATACAACTTAACACCAAGAACCAAACGATACAATTAAAAAATGGGCAGAGGACCTGAATAGACATTTCTCCAAAGAGGACATACAGACGGCCAACAGACATACGAAAAGATGCTGAACATCACTAATCACCAGGGAAATGCAAATTAAGACCACAATGACATATCGCCGTACGCCTGTCAGAACGACCATCGTCAATAAATCAACAAACAACAAGTGTTGGTGAGGACGAGGAGGAAAGGGAGCCCTGGGCACCGTCGGTGGAAATGTAAAGGAGTGCAGTCCCTATGAAAAACAGTGTGGAGGTTCCCCCCAAAATTAAACATAGAACTACCTTATGATCCAGCAATTCCACTTCTGGGTATTTATCCAAAGAAAACCAAAACACTAATTTCAAAAGATACACGCACCCTTATGTTCACTGCAGCATTATTTATAATAGCCAAGATATGGAAGCGACCTAAGTGCCCCTCGACAGATGGCTGGATAAAGAAGATGTGGTAGATATATACCATGGAATATCACTCGGCCATGAAAAAAGAATGGGATCTTACCATCTACAAGAACCTGGATGGATCTGGGGGGTATTACGGTAAGTGAAATAAATCAGAGAAAGACGAACACCGTAGGGTTTCACTTACATGTAGAAACTAAAGAACAAAATAAATGAACAAAGAAAGCAGAAACAGACTCATAGACACAGAGAACAAACTGTGGGTTACCAGATGGGGGGTTTGGGGGGTGAAAAAGGTGAAGGGATTAAGAGGTATAAATTGGTTGTTACAAAACAGTCACAGGGATGTAAAATACAGCAGAGGAAAAACAGCCAATAATGCTGTGAAAACTGTGTATAGTGTAGCAGGTGCGGACCAGGCTAATCGGGGACCAGTTCTCAAACGTCTCAAACTGACTGCAATGATGGTCGCACAGCTCTCTGAAAAGGCTAAAAAGCCACTGAATTTCATAAATGTCTAACCACTATGCTGTACACCTGAAACTAATATTGAACATCAACTAACTGAAAAATAAAAAAAATTTAAAAAGTGAATGAGATGAAGTCCACCAACACTGCTTTTATCAGTGTGATCCCAGGACATCAGTGGGCTGTGGGGGACTTCAGAATGCTTACCGGTCACGAACTTGAGAGATGGAAGGAGGCTCAGAGACCAGCAGGTTCAACTGAATCGTTTACAGTCAGGTAGAGCCAGGTCTCTGCTCTACCTGAGTCTAAAGCTTAGATCTTTTGATTAAATTTAGATCCAGGACTGTTTCTACTGCACTTTCCTTCAAAGAGCAGAGTTAAGAGAATTAGGAAGATAAACAATACAGATATAATTGAAAGAGAAGCTAACAGCTGAAAATATATGATGATATGCTTTTCCATAAGTTCAAGGGTAAAGGCTTTTATAACTGAACTTTAAAAAACAGAACCTCTGATGTGTTCGGCGAGCTCCATGGCGGCAATCATCTCTTCCAGCCCTTGGGCCATGGAAGTAATGATTGATGAGTACGGCGCTAGTGCACACGCAGAGGCCGTGACAAGCTGAGATACGACGTTACCGGGGGGAAACGCCATTTGCAGTTTGCAAAGCAGGGGCACCCTACAGGTCAATCGTGAAAGTTTCTTGAGCTAGTAGACACTATTATTTTTAACTGTCGCTTAAAATTTAATGATCTAATAAAAAAGACACGATGATAAGTGTTGGCGGTAAGTGGAAAAACGAGCACTGTTATGCACGGCTTCCCGGCACGTCAATGGCACAGTCTCTTTTGGCAGCGCATCAGAAGTTCGACGGTTACGGTATGAGCCAGCAAGTCAACTCCTGAACATCCGCGCGAGAGGGCTGGGACCGTGTAAACAAAACACTTGCACACGAACGTTCGCGGCATTCTTTGTAATAGCCAAAAAGTGGCAGCAACCCCAACGACCATCAACCGATGAACGGATAAACAAGGAGTGGTTTATCCAGAGAACAGAGCGTCACTGCCAACACAAAGAAACGAAGCACTGCCACACGACACAGCACGGACGGACTCTGAAGACAGTGTGCTAACTGAAAAACACAGCCCCAGAAGGCCACGCAGCGTTTCATTCCACTTACACGAAACGTCCAGAACAGGCAAGTCTATAGGAAAAGAAAGTAGACGGGTGTTTGCCAAGGGCTGGGGGAGGGTAAAATAGGAAGTAACTGCTAACGGGTTTCTTTTTGCGATAAAGAAAATGTTCTCAAACTGACTGCAATGATGGCTGCACAACTCTGTGAAAATACTAAAAAACCACCGACCTGTACACACTAAGAGTGCATTTTATATTATGTGAATTATAGCTCGATAAAACTATTACTAAAGAAATAATTTTTAAAATTCACTGATCTCTTGGAGGGCAAGTTGAGGCAAGTTAATGTTCTTTTTTGGAAAATGCAGGTAAGCAGGGATATTGGCTACCTGCTGCTGATGTTAGTCATCTATCTGTCAATTCCATGCAATGGACAATCATCTATGGGATCTATTACTGATGACAGAGGCTGAAAGATTAAAATGAATAAATGACCGGACCCAGCCCTCTAGGAGCTAATTCTGACATGTTTTGATTTTTGAATATATCGAGTAAGTTGACATACACGAGCTTAAAAAAGAACACGGTAAATACCCCAAAGAACTAAGGACTTATAAAGACAGACGAAAAGCAACTTAAACTTAAACAGTCGCGAGCAGTCCAGACACTCGGCCTTACCGGGCTCATGTAAACGCCCTGGTGCACGTCTCCGAACTGGCCTTCCCCGATGCAGCGGCCGAGCTCTATCCTCTCTCTTTGAATCTCATAGTCCCTGGCTGCAAAACAGAACCCACACATCAAAACGTGCTTAGGGACAACATTCCGGACGTAGAAACGACATTTGACACGTTGCATTTCATTATCACCCATGAGTAAAAATGTCATCAGTGACACATGTTTCTATGAAAATGCTTTAAACACAGTGGAATTCTCTTAAATAGCATTTTTAAAAGAATTTATGTAACTATTATGGCACTGGTTGAACCGCCAAAACAATGAGTTCTATTAAAGGTAGATTGTTTAACTATTTTTAATGTCTGATTTAGTTTATATCTCTATGATAGTTTTCTAAATAATTTCTCCAGATATTAAATTATATGCTTAATTAATAAGTGCTATTAGTTCAGGTATTAATATGTGAAGGCTAAAAAGTTATTTAAAGCAATTATTTTATAAATAAAGTTTGTAAATATGGAAGCAACAAAAATTGTCATGAGTAACCGTATATTTTAAGTTTAAGAGTGTTCCACTCTATCATAACCCTATCTCGGTATTATTCATGAAGCTAAAAGAGTTTAAAGAGGTAGCTTCTGAAAACCAATTTCAAAAGGAGATGAATTGCAATCAGGTTGAACGTATCACATAAATCATGAGTATTTTGTTTTTAGGAGCATCTGCCTCAAATTAATGGATTAAATGGCTGATTTATATAAAGCCAAGTATTTATAGACTGCTAAGGCACATGGGAAGAGAATATCCACTAGGAACCTAGTAGCTTGATTCTTATCCAATTAACCTTAGAGTACGGATTTTGATTTCTTCCCATCAGGAAAGTCATCCCGTAGCCCAACCTGCTATGTGCCATTAGTATAATCACCAATCGAATAAAACGATGGCCAAATATCCTAAAACATTCTCCTTGGTTTATCAAATTATAAATCATATAGAAAACCCAACCCAAATTTTAGATGGTTATTTCCTCTTTAAAATCACTTTAGCTAGTAGTTCCATTGATTTCACAGCATGAGTAAACCAATGAAAAATAGTATAAAATAAAAGTTAACAGAAAACTGAAACATCCCATATCATTCCACAGGTTGCAATTGCAAGCAAATGCAGTTATTTTAAAGGAATCCTGTTACCTTCATCTATTCCATAGCTTTCTGTATTGCAATTAAGAGAGAAAAAAATTAAAGACCTTGCTTAGAAATAACTGAAAGCAATTAGGTTAACAACAATAAACTCGGAGAGTACATTTCAATAATGTTTACTTTGCTAAATATTGTAACCATATAATTTTAAAAAAGAGGACAAGACACGAGTAAAAACTAAATCTCCTCAATTTAATTCAATGTGACGTAAACAATACTTTACGTTTCTATCTCATAAATTCCTACATGATAACTCATTTCTGTGGGGTATGGATAAAAGTTAGCCATGCTGAACATTACTACTCAACTCTGAATAATAAATACACAAATAAAAATTTAGCTTTTCTGCAGGAATGTAAAAATGACTAAATGGGTGACCAAAAATTTAAACTCAAATTTAAACATTTTTCCAAATGTCTGCAAGTCAAACCGTGCACACGAGTCACCGTGCTCGCCTCTGCTTCACGCCGCCCTGTGACACAGGAGCTCTTGGGAGGGGACCCAGGGGTCCGCCAGGATGCCGCACGCCTGAGCGGGGCGGGCTGCTTCTCTTTGTTTTGGTAACATCTTCCTCAGTGTGTACTGAGGAAGTAAGTCTAAATTCAAGCACCTTAAAATATTTACTCAACAGGGCACAGCACCCCACCGTTTATGTCACGAACATGTCAAGCTCTACTGAGACCTGGGCATCCGATGCTGAGTTACCGAGGCCGCCAGGCTGCGAGGTGGAGTCGGAACTGGGCCTCTTTAAGAGGCAGGTTTACAAATTTTTTCTGTGAATGAAATTTCGAGGGAGTCTCCAATTCAAGATTCGGGACTACACGCTCCAGCGCAGGACCTGGGGCTTCCAGACTGTCCCCAACCGAGAAGCAGTGCTGCAGGGAGAAGGGGCGTGCTGGCATTCTGGGCGGCGGGAGGTTGTGGGGGGCCCAGGTGGCAAGGGGGGTGGTGGGGGTCCCAGGCGTTGGGGAGGTCATGGGGGGTCCCGAGCGGTGGGAAGGTCGCGGGGGGCTCTATGCCCCCGTACCGCCCACTGGAGCCGCCCGGCCCCTCCGTGAGCAGCCGGTCGAGGGGAAAGTCCACCCGGTACATATTCAAAACTGGATACGGGAGTTCATTTTAACTTTAATAATGCTCCTTTCCACAGAGAAAACAATACCCTAATCAATGAAGGTCGCACTACCACAGACCCAGAAAGCAAGCTGACCAAAGTCCTGTAACTAAACTAACTTACTACTGAGTTTTAGGCACTTAAAATACAGAATTCTGAAGGTTGAAAAGAATATTTCTGTTACGCACTCAATGAGGTATTAAAAATAGTTCTAAAAAGACAATAAATATGTAAAACTTTTAAATGCGAGATATTTAAAAGTTAAAACTGTCAAATCTGAACGACAGCGAAACCAGTGTACTTACTTGAGGGCATAGTGTAAGTATCTTCTTCATCTATAATCTCCGCATAATCGTCTGTTTCTGTACAAAAGGAAACAAATATGTTGGAAGACGTTACATATTTGACCTCCTGGCTTTTAACATAATTTGAAAGGCAAAACGATCTGCTTAAATTTCCTACTATGCTGTCATATTCTTAAAACACTTTTACTCAACTTTTGCTCACACATGAGTCATTTATGGAAATAAAAGTGACATCATGGTCCTATGGTAAAAGACACAGGCTTGTTTCTCAGAGCAAACAGCGCTAACACAGAAGGCCCTTGTGGAAGACAGAAAGCAATGACTACGTGGGTGACTGACAGCCACCCATCTGCACTGGCTGCTCGCCTCTGCCTCGACCACACCGACACACGTTGACACGCACGCCACCGTCTGCGGGGAGGTCTCCAAACATGACCGGTATCTCAAAAACACGGTATATCTGGCATTATTCCTGAGACTCTACAGCATCGTCTAAATGCTCTCCTTTGGAAAACGAAAATGGCAGCCCAATTTTTGAGGAGATTAACTGGGCCATTTTATTTCACTTGTTCAGGGCGAAAGCAACCCAGGAATTTATCTCGTTAAATTCTTCACTCAGGTGTTTGAAGAGCATACGTTAATGTCAACAGGGTAAAAGAGCCACCAAGAAGAAAATGAGAGCAAATAGTGAGTTCTCTCCTGAGACAAGGAAGGCGTCCCAGGGTTTCCGCGTGTCCCTTTCGGTGACACAGCAACCTCACAACTGCCACCGCGACGCAAGGGGTCACTGCTGGCAAATCCCCTCCCTCTCCTCGCCTGCTTTCTTTTTGCGGTTTTATTGAGATATCACCGATACGTAACACTGTATGAGTTTAGGGTGACAACATACTGACGTGACACATGCATGTAGTGCAAGCTGATCTGCACCGAAAGTTTAGTTAACGTCTGTCACTGATATTTTTTCAGTGGATGACATGGCTGTGTTAAAAGGGGTTCTCCCCTTCCTTTAAGACACACACGTACAGGTGAAGCAGTATGACATTCGCCGCTAGGTAATCTAGGGGGAGGGGATGTGCGCTGGGAGACCAAGGAAACAGGACCGTCCGTGAAACCTGTGATGGGTAGGTGGGGTGCGTTATCCTAGTTTCTCTGTCTATGCCTAAATTTTCCATAATAAAATGTTTGTTAAAAACCCACATCAATGGGAGAGAAACCCACGTGAAGAAAACCATCACTCACTTGAGTAACAACCACACGGAAAATCTGGGAAGAGGAACACCCTTGGGTGCTTGTGCAGAGGGCCTGGGCGCTGGGCAGGAGGTGTGGGGGAGGGAGGCGGGCCTGCCTGAGTCACCGCGTGGACAGAGGCCATTCTGAAAATTGCAGCCGGCAGCCACCGGAAACCCAGAGAAACCAAAAGCTAAAAGTTCTTTCTTCTGTGATGCTACTATTATTTCATTCGGATGTTAAAATTATACAAACCAAACAAAGAGACTAAATACGGTTTACAGACTCTAGGATTCAATCATCCCACGTATGGCTATGATAATGATTGAGATCAAATCTCAGAGCTCCTGGGAGAATTTGTTTCTTAATTTGTAATCATCACTAAAATTTCAGCCGCCGGAATGTAAAGTTAATAAATCAATACTCTTTTAGGATATTTAGCAAGTAGAAAGTATCTATGAGTACTATATATGACAAATAAATAATCTATATTATTCTTACAATTTTATAAATAATATTACGTACGGAATTAAAGAAAAAATCGAACCAACCTCAGACTTTACATTCTTTATTTCTGTATTTCCCCCTATTATCCTGTCCTCATTGAACACCATGAGAACAGTCGATTGTCACGTTCTAGGCCCACAGCTTTGCTTTCGTGTAAGACGGCTTAACAGATGCTGAGGGATGAAATCTGGAGACGGAAGGGAGCCACTTGGCACACGTAAGAAACAGGACTAAGCAGGGCGGCATCTGCTCTCACAGGGGGCCAACGGGAGCCCCGCCAGGGGCCTGCAGACGTGCGCTGACCTTCACTCTCGATGGTCAGTAACTCAGCAGGCTCGGCTGCACACCACTCCCCTGGGGAGCTAGCAAGACGGAGGCCACATCGCCACAAACAGATGCTCCCTTCCTGCCTTCTCTACAAAGCACAGGCCTTGGGACAGACAAGGCACCTGCTGACGCCGAGGTGGCCGGATTTCGGGATGAAAGCTGCCCAGACCTCCCTGGACCTCCCAGCCCTGCTTCCCCCCGCCAGCCGCCCTATCGCTAGAATGGCTCAAGGATCTCTGACCAGCCTGCACCTGGCTCCTCACTTAAGGAGATGCTAGGGACCACGCAACTCCACAGGGCCACGGGGGAGGGTCACTGTCCCCATTCTTAAGCCTTGTCAGGGCACACGGTATCTGCCGCCTGGATGGAGAAGGTACAATACTGCCCGACAGCAAAGCGGGGACGTCTCATGGAGGGCTTACCAGCCGCCCGCTCCTGCTGGCTCAGAGCCATTTCTAGTTTTAGCCAGAGTGTCACCTGTTCAGTGTTGCCCTCCTCAAACGAATTTGCCCCCCACACCCATGACTCTTAATCACGTTGCCTGTTTTATTTTCCTGGGTATCTTTCACTACCCAGTCCCTGGTTCCTTATCAGCCACTTGTCCCCATGGGAGCGGAGCCCTGTGTGCCTGGCACGGAGTGGGTGCTCCGTAAACACCTGC